GCTAACAGGATAAGCAATGTCTGGGCGGGTCACAACCAAGTAGTTCAGTTTACCCACTAATCTCCTGTATCTCTCTGGATCACTGAATGATTCACCGTCTTTCGTTAATTGCATGTTAGGAACCATAGGTGTATTACATGGTTTGGATGCGAGCTTTCCTGTCTCAGACAACAAATCAAGCACATACTTCCTCTGTGTAAGCAATATACCTCTATTGCTTCGCAAAACTTCAACCCCTAGAAAATACTTCAGCGTTCCAAGATCCTTTGTTTGAAACTGACTATGGACAAATGTCTTGAGTGATGAAATACCTGCAAAATCATTTTCTGTAATAATGATGTCATCTACACAAACAACCAATAAGATGATTCCACCCCTAGATCGCTTATAAAAGACAGAATGATCAGATTGGCCTTTCACCATTCCGAACCGCTCGATTACTTGGCTGAATTTTCCATACCATGCACGAGGACTTTGTTTTAGTCCGTATAAAGATTTATGCAACCGACATACCTTCCCATTCTCCCCTTGAGCAACAAACCCTGGAGGTTGCTCCATATAAACCTCTTCCTCAAGAGCACCATGAAGAAACGCATTTTTGATATCTAATTGATGCAACGGCCAATCATGACACGCAGCCATGGAGATGACAAAGCGAACAGAAGTGAGCTTGAAAACTGGAGAGAAAGTCTCATCATAATCCACACCATAGGTTTGAGCATATCCTTTGGCCACTAATCGAGCTTTGAGGCAAGCCACAGACCCATCTGGATTAACCTTAATAGAGAAAACCCACTTGCAACCAATAGATTTCTTGCCGATCGGCAATGAAACTAGACTCCAAGTATGATTTTGCTCCAAGGCTTTCATCACTTCTATCATGGCAGTACGCCATCCAGGATGACTGACAGTTTTAGGAAGAGGGACAGAATCTAGAGAAGAGGTGAGTGCACAAGCAGTTTAAGACAAATGATCATAAGAGACACAATTAGAAATAGGGTAGGTGCAAGACCGCTTACCTTTGCGCAAAGCGATGGGTAGATCATCAGCATGATCAGGATCCAACGACGAAGTGCTCGACTCAGGGCGTGAGAGGTGGTTGATCAGTCAATGTGGCAAGAAGAGATTCAGGGACAACTGAAGGTGCAACTGGTTTTTTCCTGCGGGAGTAAACCTGAATGATGGGAGGCACACCAGTAGAGGACATTGTAGCACTAGAGGTAGTGTAAAATAAAATGTCACCAGAACCCTCCCCCTCATTTACAGAATCTGTAGGTGAAGAAAAAGGAACATGCTCATGGAAACTCACATCGATGGAGACAAGATATCGACCAAGACTAGGACAATAACAACGATATCCCTTTTGAACCTGGGAGTACCCCAAAAAGATGCACTTCAAGGATTTTGGGTTTAGCTTAGTGACAGATGGACGAACATCCCTTACAAAACATGTACACCCAAAGATCTTTGGTGGGACTGGAAAAATAGGTTTATCAGAGAAGAGAATATGAAATGGTGGCTGGCCACCAAGGACACTCGATGGAAGGCGATTAATCAAGAAACATGTTGTGGCAACGGCATCAGCCCAAAACATCTTGGACACTTTTGATTGAAACAAGAGTGCCCGTGCAGTTTCAAGAAGATGTCGATTTTTGCGTTCAGCTACTCCATTTTGGGCTGGAGTATCCACACACGAAGTTTGGTGGAGAATGCCATGGTCACGCATGTAGCCTTGGAAGGGGCTGGAAGGATATTCTTTAGCATTATCACCACGCATAATTTTAAAAGGCATATTAAATTGGGTTTGGATTTCAGCACAAAACGAACAAAAGTGAGAAAATAACTCAGAACGAGATTTCATTAAATAGAGCCAAGTCATACGTGAATAGTCATCAACAAAAGTAACAAAGTACCGGAATCTGGGTTTCGACACAACCGAGCAAGGACCCCAAACGTCAGAATGAACCAACTCAAAAGGAGCACTTGCCCTTAGATTTATTCTAAGACTCAAACTAACACGATGATGTTTAGCAAAACAACATGATTCACACTCTAAAACAGAGAGATGTTGAAATTGAGGATAAGTTTTCTTTAACAGGGACAAGGATGGATGACCAAGACGATAATGAATCTCAAGAGGTGACTCAATCCCAACACAAGCAGCTGCTTTAGGAATGGAAGTGTTGAGAAGATACAGGCCATTAGTCTCATGTCCTTCACCAATAATCTTCTTCGTCGTAAGATCCTGAAACACACAATGGTCAGAAAAGAATGTGACAAAGCAATTAAGATCACGAGTAAGTCTACTAAGAGACAACAGATTAAATGAAAAATGGGGTAAACTCAAAACAGAAGACAGATGCATATTTGGAGTTAGGATAACCGATCCTGACCCAAGGACCTTAGATGTTGAACCATCAGCGGTAACAGGGGAATGAGATGTGTAGGGCTGAAAAGTGGAGAAGACGCTAGGATTACCTGACATATGATCTGTGGCTCCGGAATCAATAACCCACTTGGAGGAAGACGAGACAAGACAAGCACTATCGTTACCTGAATTCGTATTTGCCGTCATAGAAGGAGATGATCGCTGCAGGAGCTCCTTGAACTGGAGGAATTGGGCATACTCATCTGTTGAAGTAGGGGGATTAGAGTTTTCACCAGAGGCAAAGTGTGCAGCTCGTCCCCTTTGATTAACACGTTGAAGTTTCCTACAATCACGCTTATAATGTCCCTCTTTGTGACAATAATGACAGATTATGGGCTCTTGGTTCTATGGGGTGCCACTATGAATGAATGACTTATATGGTTGCTTTGGTGACTCAGTTTGCATCCTCTGACTTATAAGAGCATTCTGGGGTGCCCCATCTGAAGGCTCTATGCGTTTTACACTTTCACTACGTTGAGTCCGTGAGTACCCATCCTGTAGAGTGGGAACCTCAGAGTCTGCAAGGACCCTTTCTCGGGCAGCCTCAAATCTTGGGGCCATCTGCTCTCGCTGTTGTTGCTGAGTTTTGACATCTGGAGTGTAGGGCATCAATGAATTTAAGGCCTCATATGTCTTCTTGAAGTCCATGAAATATGCTTAAAGAGATTGATCCTGCTGATCATAGAAAGCCTTACATACGTCATAGATACAAGTAAGATTTCCCTTACCTGAATATTGAAATTCCAAATATTCCATCAAGTCTTTAACTGTTTCACAATGGCCAACTAACCCAAGCACATCCCCATCAATTGAGTTCCGGATTTGGAGGAATAGTCGAGCATCATCCCTCGACCAGACTTTCTTAGTAGTTGCATCCTAAGGAGGATCATCAGTCATATGATCGTCCTTGTCAGTACTTCGGAGATATAGTTTAATAGTCGTGACCCATTCAAGATAATTAGATTGGGCAATAAGACACTTGAGTTGAACCACATTAAAGATAATTAGAGGAATTAAGTTTCCTCTCTGTGATTTTTGACATGACTGGAAAAACTTTAGTGATGACACTAGACTTATCACCCATTTCAATGAACTAAAATTTGAACAAAATCTGATCGGCAGAGGAAGACAGAGCAAAAATCACCCACTGAATGTCCAAACTGAGTCTGCACAGGTGCTTAGATGACTCAGGCGACCCTGACAGTGATTTTTGACAGTGGATCTGACCAGCAGTGGCGGGGCGTGAGGTCTCCAACGAAGGAGAGATTCTCCAGAATAGTTCTCCTGCAACGTGCGACTCCACCCACGGTGGTGGAGACGTCTAGCGAGCACCCTTAGAGACAGCGTCAAAACGGCAGAAGCCCTTTTTTTTAACAAATGATGAACCCTAACCCTAGAGCACACTGGCTCTGATACCATGTGATTGATAATCAGAGGTTTTCCTCATAATACAACAACAACAACAACCTAGTTAAATCCCACAAGAGTAGGGTCTGGGGAGGGTGTGTGTACGCAGACCTTGCCCCTACTTGAAAGTAGAGAGGCTGTTTCCAAAGAGACCCCCGGCTCAACGTCGAAAGTTGCATTGCTTGACTACTACTTCATTAATTAAAGAAGCGCAGACAGTTTAGAGATCCATTTTGATTTATTCCATCACACCCCAAAGCCAAAAAATGGTGAAATTTTGGCTCCATCGGAGATGATGTTTTCCTCATAATACATAATTACATAATACAAAATGACTGTATATACATAAGAAGGGTGCTAATATAAGGAAACTAAATCTCCCATATTAATGCCTAAATCACCCATATTAATGGCCAAATCAGAACCTGCCATATTCTCAGGACTTAACTAAAATACGAATACTATTACTAATAACACATAGAATATATATTCCTCTGATGGAATTTGAAAATGTGTTTTCCTTTTGTTTAGTTTGATAATAATGAAGGATGTATGCGTCCAAGTTTTTAACATTTGTCAATTGCCAGCCACCTAGGTTTTACTTCCCTTCCTCTCTTACATAGTTACTAGTTACGTAACTATAGAAGATATGTAACGTAACCTCTTTCCCTCTACTTCTATGATATTTCAAAAATGATTGGCCCTGAGGTTCAGGTGATTGCTTTTATCTTTTGGATGTTAGTTTTTTTTTATGTCCTGGCTTATTTGATGTATGTCTTGTTTCCGTCTCTAAAACCCAAAGACATATTGTGCAGATGCATATTCAGACTTTGAGAGGCCGGATACTTGAAACAATTTTAAGCTTGAGATTTTTCATTTTCCAGTATGGTATTGTTTATAAGCTGCACTTGACAGGGAAAGACACCTCTCTAGCGGTATGGTGTTCTTAATCACTCTTGATTTTTTTTTACATATCTATTTCACATATGGGACAAAGACAAATAATTTATTTTCCAGTATGGTATTGTTTATAATGCTGTATATATACATGAAGGTGTATGGGGCGGGCAAAGTCATTCACTTCATGAAGGCGTATGTACTGTGACACATAGATCAGAGATGAAATATAGAAGCACACACTTGATTTAATTCCATTTTCATATGATCCCTTCCAAATTAACCCTTAAATGCAAAAAAGAAAGAAATTTTGGAATTGCCAGAGACAACTTGATTATTTACCTATCTGATGTGCCATTTGGCTCTAATTTTAAAAAGTTCTTTTAATGGATTCTGTAGATTCTTATCCTAGAATTAGCTGAGTGTTTCATTTGTTTTAGATTCTGAAAGAATCAGTTGCTGATTCTGCTTTCTAGAATTTGATTTTTTGAAGTATATCCACTACTTGATTCTCCAGAATCAGGCAATCAGCTAGTTCTGAAATCGCTGTTTCAGAATTAGCAAAAAAGAAAAATGAAGCCAATTGAGCTCTTAATTTTTAAAGATTCTATAACCAAAATGCTGCTTATACAGTTCTTTTATATTCATTGACTTCTATTGTCTTCGATTTTCATGTGCGCTTTAAGAACATTTTTAAAATCATCGTGCGTATTGGTAGTGTTTCATCAACCAATGAGTGCTTTTTTGAGAGAAAAACTATAGAAGCAGTCATGGAAGCGAAAGAGTTTCTTCAAACTGCATGATAGCTTTTCCGTGGTTTAGGTTTAAGAAATGCCTTACCTTACAAGGTAATAGCCGAAAACATGGATTACGACCATTGCTGAACAGTAGAGTTTAGGGTTAAGTTTAACAGTTCCCTTCGAATTGGAACATATAAAATAATCATGTCTAAAAATAACAACAGCAACAACAATAATCCTAGTGAAGTCTCATAAGTGGGGTCTGTGGAGGGTGGGTGTACGTAGACCTTACCCCTACTTACAAATGGTAGAAAGGTTGTTTCTGAAAGACCTCCGGCTCACAAGAACAAAGGAAATGCATGAGAACATACCCATAAATAAAAATACAATGTTAAAGATAATAGGAGGAACTGAAAGAATGATGATCAAGCACCAAACATAGTAAAAGCACCTTACTAAAATTAGCTACCCCCAGTAACTCAAATCAACCAGAGCAATGGGAAGACCTGCCAAAATCCCACCTGACCTATAGCTCTAATACTTGATCTCCAAACTCTCCTGCCTAAGGTCATGTACACGGTGAACTGCATAACCATCGAATCATGTCTAATTGCCTCACTCAAGCTCTTCCTCGATATAGCTTTATGAGTCACTAGTCAATGTTCAGTTGGATATAAAAAAAATCTTTTCCTCTATGGCAATCCGCAAGAGAAGGTTTTTATAGAACAATTGCCAGGTTTTGTTGCTTAAGAGTAGTATGGTCTCCTATTACGCCCCTATCTACTTGGCCAAAACAATCTCCACATGCATGGTTTGGGTGGTTCAGGTTCACTACATACACAAATGGATTATGGATATGTCACATGTTCCAAGACATTAGATCCGATCTTTTATTATTAATTTTCTAATAGATACATCACATTGATGGTAGACAAATGCTTTGTTCTGTCAGGTCTGGTAATAAAAATGATTGGTCTGAATCTCAAACTTTTGGTTTCCATCTATTGACAAATTGTCCCAATGTTTGTCTTGCATACTTATTGTTTCTCCCTGTCTTCTTAAATTTGAATATCTGATATTCTAAATTCTGGCTGAAATATTTTGTTGCATTGAATGTTTAGAGTTCTATGACAATACCCCATTTGTTTTGTGAAAGGGCCGTCGCTTTAATAACTTTTTTAATTGTTTTGAAGATTTATGGATTCTCGTGGATTGTGCTCATTGGTATTGTAATGATCTTCAAGGTATTATTACTTGTAAAAACTTTTATTAATCTGTCCAATGATTGAGCCAAAGTTTTGAGGTAGAATTTTCTTTTGGCATTCCAGATATTCACATTTAGCCCCAAGAATTCCACCAACTTCCAGCTCATGCTTCGGTTCATTCAAGGAGTTACTGCCTTGGGTCTTGTTGCTGCCATCTGCATTGTCATTGCATTGACTCGCCTTTCTATTGCTGATTTATTTGCTAGTGTCCTGGCATTCGTTGCTACAGGATGGGCCCTTATTTGTGTAAGTTTAATGATTGCTTTGTCCACTCATTTCCTACCAAGTCCAGCCCCCCTCTAATGATAGAAAAAAACTCCCTCCGTCCTAGTGTGTTTGTCGAGTTTGACTTTTTCGAGTCAAACTGGATGAACTTTGAGCTTCAATTAATCAAAAATTGTAATGTATATTAGTGTAGAAATGATTATACTAGATTAAGAGTAAACTTTCAAAATTTAATTTCATTGTACTAATATGCGATACAACTTAAGAGTAATTGAAGCTCAAAGTTTTTTGGTGCACGATTATTTGCCATTTTCAATCATTTCAATCACTTGTGGAGTAATAATTGTACTGCGATTGACTGGATAAGTGATCGGAAGGACAAATGGTGATTATAGTCGTGCACAAAAATGGAAACTCGGACCAGATGCGGAAATGACCTCATACTCACATAGGAGAGTATGATTTCATAATAGAAACATCTAATACATATCTTCTTTGCATGAAATGGATGCAGTTGGCCATCACATGGAAGAGGGTGGTGAGAAGTTTAGGGATGTGGGATTCTGTTAAAGAGTTTGCACGAATGTACGATGCGGGAATGGGAATGATCATCTTTGCCCCTATAGCAGTACTGTCGTGGTTTCCCTTCGTGTCTACCTTCCAGTCTCGCATTCTCTTTAACCAAGCATTCAGTCGCGGGTTGGAGATCTCGCTCATTCTTGCTGGGAACAAAGCCAATATTGAGCCCTCTGCTTTTTAGTGAACAATCCTTTGAGCTCAAGCTGCCTCTATAATTGTTGTGAGTTTACTAAAGGACCTTTGTGATCCTAACTTATGTTTTACTTTACAATTCTTCTTTTGGAAACCATGGGACATTCTTTTTGTCTCACTTTGTAATTTTTTTTCTTTCCAAAATTTGGCTTGTACATAAGCATTCATTTTGATTGGTACTTGGTAATGGTGATTGGTCCAATTTTCTGCTCTTTTTTCTTTCTTTTTATCCTTCCAATTTCACAAGAGGTGGGTCCATGCAGTACTTTGATCTGTGAAAAATAGCCAATTCCATCCTCCCAACAAGGCTTTCTACCTCATGCTTCTCTATTTATTTGGTTAAAAGCTAAGTGTTTGTTCGGCAACAGTCTGAGCTCTTAGCATTTTAAAAAAGTCATCTAAAGACGTGCGTAACTTTAGCATTTTCAAAAGTAATTTGCAACAAAAAAAACTTATTCAATATGCTAACACTAGTTGAAAAAACTATTCCTTAACAAGGCCCAAATCAGCTATATACTTTATGACTAATGTTTTGTAGTGTTTGGCAGCAATTTTATTATTTTGAAAATAGGGGAAGGTTCCCATGACATTGAAACTTTGATTCCAAAGTCAAAATCAACTTGTGGGGTGCAATTGAAGGGGATGGGGGTGTGTGTTCGGGTCGGGGCGGGGTGGGGGGGTTTACCGGGGGGTTAGGGGGGTAGGAATTGTCAATTTTACGAACGGGGCACCGGAGCACCCTCGGGTCATCCCATGAACCAATGTCATGGGAACCAAGGTGTTGAAAATATTACCTAAATGTAGTACACTCTTTGTCCCTATTTTGATTAGAAATTACATACTTAAAAATTACATAAGAGTTTTACAGAATAAGATATTATAAAAATATTTTATTTTATCAAATAATGAATGAAAATCCACAAATAAATAAAAAATATCATGACATAAATTAAAATTAAATATTTAAAAATTACATAAGAGTTTTACAGAGTAAGATATTACAAAAATATTGTATTTTATCAAATAATGAATGAAAATGCACAAATAAATAAAATATATCATGATTTTGATATAGTAAACATTGTAATTAATTGTGGGGGTGAAAGGAGTAATTAGTTTTAACCTTTTCAGAGTTGATTTGCATCATTGTAAAAGTACAAAACTACTCCAGGTCACTCTCTGTTGTAAAAATTTTTAGATCCAATATACTTTACAAGTTCTTAAAATGTGGGTTAATGTATTGGATAGTACATTCCGTAGGCCATTAGATCCAATATACTTTATAAGTTCTTAAAATGTGGGTTAATGTATTTCATGTCCCATATTATTAAACTTTGATAAAGTCTTTCAAATTCTAAAATAAATAGTTAGAATCTTAATAGTTAGAATCTTAAATTACTTCTTTCGTCTCATTTCATTCACTTTCTTTTCTTATTTTAGTTAGTCATTTGATAAAGTAATATAGTTTTGTTACCATCAGTTTTGTATAACTTTTGATATAGTTTTTAAATATGTAATTTTTATTTTTAATCATACACAATTTTTTCATTTAAAATGTTTTGAAAATAACTTCAGTAAGATATCGTAGACCAAAACATACAATTTAAATTGGGACATAAGCAATATATAATTTTAAAATTTAGGTTGTGTTTGATTAAGAGTAAAATATTTTCCTTGAAGAATATTTTTCAAAGGAAATTGATTTACAAGGAAATTATTTTCCAATCATATTTTTTGTTGTTTGGTAGGAAAGAAAATATTATTTTAATAATAATAATAATAATAATAATGAAGCATGTCTTATAGACTTTGGGTCTTAAATATTTAAAATTTAAACTTTTAAATTAAAAAAAAACTAAAAATTCAAATTTAGAAACTAAAAATTTAAAATGTAAAATAAAATAGAAATTACAAGTTTAAAGTTTAAACTTTAAGAATTAGTAATTAAAAAAATTTTAAATTCTGATTTAAAAATTAAAAATTAAATAATTAAAAATAAAAAACTAAAAATTAAAAACCAAAAATTAAAAATTTAGATTTTTAAATTAACAATTTAAAATTTAAAAAATTTAAAGTTTAAAATTTAAAATTGAAAAAAATTCGTTGGCCCGTCACAGTCGTAGGGTCGCTTTGATACCATTTTTAACACCCTAACCCTACTTTAACCATAAGTGTCGGTTTATAAGATTGTAAACTGACACCCCAAACGTAATTATATTTAAAATAATTTAGTTAAATATAGTAAATGAGGATTTTAAAATTGGAGGCTAAAACTTAGGCAAAAACTTGAAAATATGTGATTAGATAAAGAACTTTAAAAGATGCCCCTGTTGTTAGATGTATATATGGCGCCACAAATTATATTGTACAGGCGGCTATACCTATCTCTGGGTACAGCCGGTGATTTGAAGTAGCTGAAGATCGCACAGAGCGGATGGAGCAACGAAGACGATGGAGCAGCGAAGATGGCGAGGAGCGATGGTGGCGGAAACGATGCAGAAGGGAATATCTAAGGAGCAGCGAAGGTGATGGTGGCGGCAGCGTTATAGATCGGGAAGCTCATGTGGAAACCCTAGTCGGACTACGAAGATTTCAAGGAAGAAAAAAGAATTAGAGATTTAAGAGGCTTGAGGGGAATCAACAAAATCAACCGTAAGTTAGTTGAGAATGAACACTATTTTATTTCAGAATGAGCATCACTTTATTTCAGAATGAACAATTCGATATTCGTAGATGAATATTATATGTTTTAAATAAATGTGTGGAAATGAGTACTACGTTATTTCAGAATGAACATTATGTTATTTTAGAATGAGTTTATATTTTTTAAAAAAATCTAATAAATTTAATACATATTTTTTTATATTTTAAATTTATGTAATACAAAATGTCAGTGTTAATATGAATTTAAAAATTTTAAAACCAAAGTCATAACTTCTCGGATTAACCCGAACCCAATGATATTGGATCATGATTCATGAACATAAAATTTTCAACTCGAACGGGAATTAGCAAACTTGGAAATAAGGCCAAACCAAACCCGACATCCGTTTTGCCGTTCTACCCAATCTACCGGATATACATTCTCATATGGCGCTTGGGAGCAAGGGAAAGGGCGTTAATGATCCCATCCAAACGAGCGCCCCATCAGCTCTCCAAGAGATCAAATCATACTCCGTATAAACTGTACTTTGTCTCAGCGCTGCTGCTAAAAACCATTGATTCTCCATTTCCCTGTTTCTCTGAATCTCTCTACTCGGACTCGGAACCCGCATAGAGCGATTCTATTTATCTTGGCGCTGCTCATGGCCAATTCTGCCGTCTCTCAGGTAATGCTGAGATTTGTTTAGCAGAGCGAGTTCTGTTTTTTCTTTTTCTTTTTTCTTTTCTTTTTTTCTTTTTTTTTTGTTTGATTAATTTGAAAAAAAATCTGATGAAATCCTTGCAGATTCCAATCGCGGTCGCTCTGAATCCAGAATTCTCCATCCGACGATCCGTATTTAAGGTTCTTAAACCCAATTCCTTCTTGCTCATTCGTTCTCTGCACGGAACGAAAATCAGTCGTGTTATTGTTGTCATTTACTCCTTATTATGATTTGAGGAAAAATTGCAAATTATAATGTTCTGTAACTTCTGGAATTTATTTGCTTTTCTAGTTTCATGGCTTTATGATCCAAAATGAGGTTTCTTTTCGTTAAAATCTGAATTGTGCTGTGGAGATTAGGGGAGAAATCGTAGGGGTTGCGACTTAGGGGCCCTTAACGTGCCTACAAACTCATACTCCTTTAATATCTGCATTTAGTGGCCATTGTGAGTGAGTTTTCTGCACAAACAGGATGCTGTTCAGCATTGTGATATTGAGTCTGTAATCCTAGAATTTGGTCATATAAAATCCCTGAAGTTAGAACTGTTAAATGCTAATGTTAGATTTGAGCTGAACTATATGCACATTTTCAGTTTTGTGTTTTGTTTCACATATGGAGTAAACGATACTCCCTCTCTTCCAATTTGTCAGGCATTTTTTCCTTTATTGCCCATCCCAAGTTACTATGCTTGTTTCGGTTGATAAAAAACATCATGTGGTTAATTTTTTCCTGCTCTCATTTGCATAATTTTCAACTACATTGTTTTGACTTTATTAATCTTCGTGTTGAGTCAAAGTAGGCATTATAAATTATACGGAGTAAAATGGAATGGAGAGCAAATATAATGTGGTATAATTTGTTTTGTTTTCAGGCTAACACATTAGGTTTCAGTCATAAATTTGGAACGAGTATCCAATGTTTTGGCCTGAAAACATCAAATGGAAAATTCAGGAGAGACACTTTGGTTTGCATGTCTCTGCAACAAGCCAGCCAATGCAAAGTGCATGTTTCACCTCTGTCACTAGAAGATGCAAAGGAACCTCCATTGAATCTGCACAAACCTAAGGAGCCATACACGGCAACAATTGTCTCTGTTGAGAGGCTTGTAGGACCAAATGCTCCCGGGGAGACTTGCCATGTTGTGATTGATCATGGTGGAAATCTTCCTTACTGGGAAGGACAAAGCTATGGTGTTATTCCTCCTGTAAGTCATATTTCTGGTTTAGTGTAGCTTCTAGTACACTTAAATTGAGCGAGTTTCTAGTTAGTAGCTTATTATGCTCGACTTTGAAGGTGTAAACGGATTTTAATCGGATCGGATGTGCCATTACCAAATCCGCATCCGTTTATTTTTGTCGGATATCGAATTCGGATACGGATCTAGACGGATATTGAAAAATTAAAACCGTATCCGCATCCGTCGGATATCGGTCGGATATCGGATATATCCGTATCCGTTTCCAATTTTTAAAACTAAATTAAACAATACTTGAATTTTCAATTAAACTAAATTAAAATATTATTAAATCAACTATAATTTTTATGGGATATTAATTTTCTTATTTTTTATATTTTATGATATTCTACGATGACTTCATATCATAAAATGATATACACAGTACATATATACACATACTTTTATGTGTTTACACATATATTTTGCATATAAAAATGTCTTATACTTTGAGATATCTATAGAGAAACAAAATATAAAAATAAAAAATTAGGAAAGACTATGTATAACGGATCGGATATACGGATAAACGGTTATTTAAACGGATGTCAATGCGGAGCGGATTATAAACGGATCGGATGTATGATTACCAAATCCGTATCCGTTTAGCAATCGGATATCCTTAATCGGATACGGATAATAACCACTTTTAACGGATGCGGATATTTTCCATATAAACGGATACGGATGCGGACGGTAATCGAATTTTCGGTTATCCGTTTACAGTCCTAACTTTGATGTGTTTTCTTATGGTACATGGCTTCTACATTTAATATAGCACTAAAAATTGATAGTTGATGTTTTTAAAGTTTGTTGACAAGCTTAGCACCTTAACTGAAGCAACAAAGACTTGCTTAAGCTGTTTGTCTTTAGGCCCCAATGCTAATTAAGCCTGACCTGTTTTTCATTTGTTCCTGGCAATAGCATAGAGTGTTTTGGTATTATATCTCAATAGCACTAACGCACCATCAAATAATGTCTAAACCCCATCTATCACAATACTCTAGGGTGAGAACCAAAGCCTGAACTGTTTTTCATCTGTTCATGGGAATTGCATAGATTGTTTTAAGGGTTATACCACATTAGCGCTAATGCACCATCAAATAATGTCTAAACCTCATTTATCACAATACTCTAGGGTGAGAACCCAAAGAAACCAGGTGCTCCTCACAACGTTCGTCTATATTCAATTGCATCTACACGATATGGAGATTCTTTTGATGGGAAAACAGCAACTTTGTGTGTCAGGCGTGCTGTCTACTATGATCCCGATACAGGAAAAGAAGATCCTTCGAAAAAAGGCGTTTGCAGCAATTTCCTATGTGATTCAAATCCCGGAGACAAAGTGCAAATCACTGGTAAGAAATCACTAATTTGATACAGCTCATGTCAAATTATATGTTTTAATTTGTTGATGCGGTGAAATATTATCCAGTATCCACTCACCCCAACTAGTTGGGGTCACATTGCTGATAATGATGTAGTAGTGAAAATATGAAATTATGGAACACACCGTACTTTTAGAATCCAATTTGCGCTATCCAATACCAATTACATTTTTGGACTCATTATAGGAGGATGACCATATTCATATATAGGTGCTAGTCACATGCATGCTAGATATATGTACTTCCATCCGTCTAGGCACATGTTAGTGAATTAGACACGTTCTACATGTTACACAGGCGTTCTTCCTCAAGTTGGTGTCATGCATATCCTAAGCTCCCACCTATATATGACCATATTCATATATAGGTGCTAGTCACATGCATGCTAGAGAAATATACTTCTATCCGTCTAGGCACATGTTAGTGAATTAGACACGTTCTACATGTTACACACTTCCGACGTTCTTCCTCAAGTTGGTGCCATGCATATCTTAAACTCCCAACTTGTATCAAATGTGTCTAGTTATTACACCGTCATACACATGGTGAATATATTTGGAAACTATTCATTAGAACACAACAAAGGTTGTGATGGGTATATTATTGAAGCCCAATTAATATACTCAAGGTCATCACAGTCCCACCCAAGTATTGAGTCAATTACTAAGCATGTATTAGTCCAACCCACTAGCCCACGGATAATGGAGTTGCACCATGGTGCTCCAAGCACAGAGCATAAATTTTTATCTCACTTAGTTTACATTTCATGTGACCAAATGTATGTTTGAGAATAAGCTATGCCATGGCCAAAATTTCATTTGATAGAAATGACTCCATTAAACTAGAGTTACTAGACATTTTACTGGTGTTGTGCTACCAACAAATTATATAAAAAAGCAATAAATTTCTTCAAACTTTCTTAAGATGTAGTGTTCCATTTGTTTTGCTATCATGATCTTATTGGTTGATCTCTTTGTATTGCTGTCCGGTGGATAGAGGTGTGAAAATTCAAAATCTACACCACCCTTCTTTCAATAATCTATTGGAATATCTGGCAGGTCCTTCTGGCAAGATTATGCTTCTCCCTGAAGACAACCCAAGTGCTACACACATTATGATCGCAACTGGTACAGGTGTAGCTCCTTATAGAGGGTACCTCCGTCGTATGTTTATGGAATCTATCCCAACATTCAAGTTTAACGGCCTTGCTTGGCTCTTCCTTGGGGTGGCCAACAATGATAGTCTTCTGTATGATGAGGAGTTCACCAAATATCTCAAGGACTATCCAGATAATTTCAGGTACGACCGTGCTCTTAGCAGAGAGCAGAAGAACAAGCGAGGGGGGAAGATGTATGTTCAGGACAAAATTGAAGAGTACAGCGATACGATGTTCAAGCTGCTTGACGAAGGGGCCCACATATACTTCTGCGGGCTGAAGGGAATGATGCCTGGGATTCAGGATACGTTGAAGCGGGTGGCAGAGGATAGAGGGGAGACATGGGAGTCGAAGCTCTCGCAACTCAAAAGGAATAAACAGTGGCACGTTGAAGTGTACTGATACGTATTTGAAGTTCTCGTATACAATTACGGAGTAAATCATTTACTATCATTCTTGAAAGGTTAGTCCCAGAATCACCCTGTGTTTGTGATTAACGTGATTTCATGTTGTGTAAAACTTGAGTTTCTTTTTTGAATTTTTTGACATGGAATAAAATTTTCTAAACTGAGCTCATATGAATTGAGTTGATGGTACCTTGCGGGAGAGAGTGTTACTCATCATTGTTGGGAAAGAGTCATTGGTGTTAGAGTACAAAATCCTTGTCTAACCTACCACCAAAAGCTTAAACTTTTGGATAAGTTGGTTCTTTGACATGATATCAGAGTAAGTCTTGGCCATCTAGCCCATCTCGTTCGTCAATGTGCCCACCTAGATGTTCTTTCTTAGCGACCTTAGTCTTTAACCCAGTTGTTCGTATGGAATGAATACCCAACACCCATTGGCCTATTTACTCTTCTTTTAAGTTGGAAAAATTAACTTCCAATTTTTTCAAATTCCTTATTGTTTCTTTCGGTTCTTTCTAAGTTTTTTCAGTTTCTTCCAACGACTTAAAAAATGTATTTATATATGATGAATATACAATAATATTATATATCCAAATTTATAACATACCACATCAAATACGGGCAAGAATAAATTCTTTTTTATCTAAAATTAGAGCTCTCTTACATATTTATTTGAGTAATTATTTAATTGAGTGACTTTTTAATACTTTAATTCTTCCAACATTTTCTAACTTCTTCCGGTTTTTCAATTCATTCTAATTTCTTCCATTATCTAACTCTAAGTTTTTGACCCAAAAAAACAAGGCCTAATTTGATTGTTTGTCTGAGAGTTCAGACATAGCGACTCGAGTCCTTTAGGTGTTGCCACTCATATATTTATTTCAGGGGGGGTGGAAATGCATTTGCCAGTAGTCAACTGTTTAGATTTAAAATGATCTGGTTATATACATGAGGAGAAGTGTTAACAAGCATCTCACATTAGAAAATAAAGAACAAAAATACTCTTTTCGTCCCAGTGTATTTGTTCAGTTTGACTTTTTTAAATCAAACAGAATGAACTTTGAGCTTTAATTAAACAAAAATTATAATGTGTATTAGTATAAAAATTATTTTATTAGATTTACTTTGTTGTGAACTATCAAAATTTTATTTCATTATACTAATATGTGATACAATTTGAGAGTAATTGAAGCTCAAAGTTTGTCTAATTCAATTTAAAAAATCAAACTGAATAAGTGCACTAGGATAAAATTAGTAATCTGTATATAAATTCTAAAATTGAACTAATTAATCGTTTGGACTCAATCTTTTGATGTGGTTGAACCTCCATCAACCTAATTTCTATCAATTGGAATAGATTTCACTTCCACAGTTCCACCAAAATTACACAACACAATGGTTTAAAAATACAGACAATGTTTGAACATGAAAAATTTGGGTATACGTGATACTCTTAGTCCTAAAATGTGTGACACTCTTTAATATTCCAGACGTACAATAATTTTTGTTTATTTGTATATTTCGTTGATTATTTTAAAAAATAGAATTAGTTTACTAGTATTTTGTAAATCTTTTAACATAGTTTTTAAATACTCTGGGGTATATAAATTTTGTTTTTTATTTCCATATCATTTTCTAAATAACATAAATTTAACATGTTTGGTATTTGCCTCGTATTTCCCTCAATGCAATTCAATAGATTATGGGGTGTCATCATCAGCATCTCCACCATTCTCACTTCCAACTTAGCGCTACATCATTTTTCATCATTTCATCCCCATGCAGGGGTGCCATCATCATTCTATCCTTATTCTTTTTTTATATACTACTTTTCTAACATTTCATTTATATTTAATATTTTTATTTAAATAATTAAATAAACTAAAACATTAAATAATAATTGGATACTTTAAGATCTAAAAATTTATATTAAGCATTTCATTCACTATAGTTCATAGACCAAATATGATCTATCAAAATCGCTGCGAAGGCGGTGATGGGTTCCCGGGTTATGTAATGCCAACATATTTGACTCTTGTTGCACTGCGTCCACCGGCATAATATTATCTGTTAGTTCGATATTGTGTTGGCATTAGTTTTTGACAAACGAATAGATTTACCTAAAATTATTTTAGATATTTTATTTAGACTTAGAGTACTAGCATGTGCAGAAAGAGAAAGAAGAAAGAGCTTCAAGAAAGAATTCTAATCCTACTTGGTTTACTATTGTTGAGGAGAAAGCCATGGTTGAGAATACGAAAAAACAGAAGCACTACTTGAGAATACGAAAGAATTCTAATCCTACTTGGTACACTCTAACAGGGTTATTCTATTCCATATATTATCTTCGCCTTCCCTTACAGTTTTGGTGGGTGAGAATACGAAAAAACAGAAGCAAATCCGATTAAAAAAAGAAGGTGCAGTTTTTGACTATGCAAATTTTCTGGACAGCCTGCACAAATTTGATCTTCGCCGAAGATTCGACTGTTGGATTTTGCTAAAATTTTTAGAGAGTGTTTCGAATACATAGGACTTCAATCTGTTCAAGTTTCACGTCAATCAAAGTTACAGATCTTCTTTTATCAAAGTTACGATCTACATATTGCCGCTGGTTTATTATAGAAAATGTAGCTCTGGTTTTGTCGATGATCAAAGTGCCAAATCTTGTCTGATCGTGCTGCAATTTTAGGAGGAGTGTAAGGACTCGTGGAGCTTCAATCTGAAAAGTGGAGATTAAATTCCAACGGTTCAATCTTGATTTATGAGCTTCGGATGAGCCTGCAAATTTTTGTAGATCAAGGCAGAATCTTTGTTTGATGGTGTACTGGAATCTACGTCCTTGAAAAAGAACTTGGAGAATGTGTAACAAGCTGTGGAGATAGACGCAAATAGAGTTTGTCATCAAGTCATTTGTAAGTAGACAAATCAATACATTAGAAGGTTCTCTTGTGATTGGTTGTGTAATTCTTACGGTGATTTAGTGGAAGGGCTGTTACACGAACGTGGACCTCGCAGACGTAGGAGAGTTGCTCCGAACAGCGTAAACAATTCTTGTGTACTGTTTAGTGCTTTTACTTTATATTTTGCGTGTGCGCTTTTGACAGAGAAGATGTTATAGCACCCTGTCTGTCATTTGTTACTGTGATAGTGCTGCAGTATCTTCTCTACAGCATAGTTATTTGATATATTTGCATAGCTTTCAATTGGTGATTTCTGTTGTACCCCCATGAACTTACATTATCAACAACTTCATTTGGATCATACTCACATACTGCACACCCTTCGTCTTCGAGTATCATGTTGTGTAACAAGATACAGGCTTATATAATGTATCTCAACTTTTTGGGCGTGAAAGCACGCGTCGGCTTTTGCACAATATGCCACTATTTCTTTAGCACACCAAAGAGTCGTTCAACATCTTTTCTTGCCGCTTCTCGGTACGTCGCAAATTTCTTCCTCTTTTCATCTTCGGAATATGGTAAACTTTTTAGTATAGCCGCATACTCAGGGTATCTACTGTCAGCTAGATAGTAAGCGTGCTTGTACTCCACCCCTGACACCGTAAAAGAAGAGTCGGGGGCAACACCCTTTATGATGTTGGTGAAAATATTGGAGCAATTCAACACGTTCAAGTCGTTACTCGACCCTGCTACACCAAAAAATACATGCCAAGCCCAAAGATCTTGCGACGCCACAGCTTCAAGCATTATTGTCGGATGTCCGTGATCACCGTGTGTGTATTGACCATGTCACATTTTCGGGCAATTATCCCATGCCCAATGCATACAGTCGATACTGCCTAACATTCCGGGTAGTCCGTGTGTATTGACCACGTAAGGTCTTCGTGTTGGTCTACGCAAATACTGTCTTCTATAGCATGACGATGCTCTTGGCAAACTTGTATAAACATTCCCGGGTTGTTCTATTTGACATCTGAAGATACTCATCTCATGGATCGCTACTTGTGTCATACGATAGTTGCCTTATTGTTGTCGTGCATTTCTGTAATGTTGTAAAACCCCTCTCCAATCTCGCATCGGATTGTAATGTAAAAAATTGGTTTGTATTTGCCTAAGTCATCGGTAATACGGAGAAACAATCGACGACTCATAAATGACGCCTAAATTGGTCGTCGGTGTAGACGGGGACCTTCACAGAGCAGTCGGAAACTAACTGCTCATGACCAGCTAAAAATTCAAATATAATTAAAATATTAAAAATCAATGCGATAACAAAATAATATTAAAATATAGATTAATATAGATTATACGATTGGATACAAAAAAATCATACCCTCCCGATCTCGGAGTAAAGCTCGTTGTCTTCTTTCGTTGCACCGATGACGGTGTAGTTTCGTGTTGTGCTAGAAGAATTTGTGCGGGTCCATCACCAAATTAAAAAGAAAAATCCTTGGCTTCGTCGGAAGATGAAGAGTAATTCATGGTACAAAATATTTTGTAAATGAACAATTATTTTTTTTGGAGAATAATTAATGGAAGTTTGAGTGAAAAGGCGTGTTTAAACAGAGTAAATTTTTTTTGGACCTAACGGTCAATTCTCAATTTTTTTTTTATTTTTTTTAAAGTTTTGCAACGGTCAAATATTGAAAAGAAAAAAAATGGGTGTCAATCGGGGCGTTCGGCGTGCAGAGCATTCTGACACCAAATGCCAATCGGGGGGCGGTGTTCCCGTCAAGGTCGGCTGGCAGGTGGGCGACGCCGACTCCTCCGATCCCCCATAGCCTTAGGAGGGAGGGACTATAACACTATGTTTGGATGGTGAGAAATTAATGAGAAAGAAAATATTACGTGAGAAAACAAAAAAACAATGCCAATTTACTTGTTTGGGTAAGTGAGAAAATGGAAGAAAATAAAGTATGGAACCATGTGAAAACTTCTCACCATAGAAGATGAGAAAATGTATCAAAAAGTATTTCTTCTATTTTTCCTTTTCTTTTTCTATTTTTTCAACATTTTCTTATCAATTTCTATAAATCCAAACATTAATTTTTTTTCATTTTCTCTCCATTTTCTTTCCTCTCGATCATTTTCTCCCTCATCCAAGCAAACCATAAAAGTATAACATAGTACTCTATATTATTTGTACTAATTGATTGTTAATGTTTGATACTTTTTTAGTCTCAAATTAAATTTCTTACTCTGAT